AAGTTCATAGCTAAATATTTGGATTTGCGACTAAATAGGCATATCCAAATGCAATGCACGTTTAAGCAGAAGTAAAGTGAGCTTGTAGAGGATGTTTGTAGCGTTTTTCTTCACAGTTATTTAGAGCAAAATCTTGCTTGCTTTTTTTCTTCAGCTGTGTACAGTTTTGGAGATTTAGGTAATTATATCCTTTCTGAAATTATGACTATGACAGAACTAACTTTTCAGGCTTCTGTGGGTGGAATTGGAAAGCAACTGAAATGTTTTTAAACTCGCTTGGTGGGTTGTGTAGTAATTCTGTTGTATTTACTCCAGTAGCCAAGTTTCTAAATCCTAGCTCACAGCCATAGGAGGTTTTTTAGTCCCATTATTATGGCGCTCAGACTCCTTTTTTTGAAAATTTTTTTGGATATTGCTGCAGCCAAGCTGATAAACCTGAAGTCTTGTGCTGCTGCTGCTGTTTTGTATTAAAACTTTACGACAACGATATATATGTATATTCCGTCTTGCGTTCTTGGACGTGCAGCTAGCTTAGGTAATCGCCAATGAGATGTCTTTATTGCCTGTTTGCAGACTCTGTTTGGTCAAGGAGCATAGAACATTTGCATAGTTTTCTTGTAGTGTCAAATGAGCTGAGAAAATGATTGTTTTCTGCTCTGAAATTTCCATTATAACAGTGCATTTATTTTTCTGTGGTATGAGTGTGCTTGTATTCTTGAACTGGGTATCTATTTGTCATGGTTAAATGCCTGAGGAAAAAATGAAGTGTAATAAATGCCTTTCATTGATATTAACAAAACTTTCAAATTTTTTAAAATGTAATTTGAGGTCAAAGAAGAAAAAAAGAATTAGTATCTTGACTGTATACTAATATCAAATTGATATATTTGGACCTGATCTCACAGCTCTGTTTCTCTTCACTGTACGTTGTATGACATAGCATGGCACTAGCAGAGCTGTTTGCCTCCATCTGTCACGTCGTCGCTCTGAGATGATACTAGCCTCTCTCATGAATTATTCTGCTCACAGACAGTCTCTGAGCCTCCCCCAAGAGCTATTCTCTAATTCTGAATTACAGTGTACATGTCTATCTGAACTACATACTGTGGGAAAATGAAGGATTTACACATGGCTTTTTTAATGCCAACTGCTTGCATCTGGGAAACAAGCTGGAAACATGGGAACAGTATTTTCAGAAATAACAGGAAATTAATTGTGGAATAATTGCCTATTAAGCTGTAGCTGGGCTAGCACGTTTATTCACTCAGACCCTGAAGAGGACATGAACTTATCACTGGCCTCAGAGGAGGTGGATGTGGGAGTTGAACAGGAAACAGCAGGGGAGCTGATCCTGTCAAAGAGGAACACTTCAGGATCTCTCTGACTCTTCTGATCCATGGGCTGTGAAGTGACCCCTTGTCTCTGTCTAGCTTGTTTTGAGTGAGTGCATGAAGAATGCTGAATTTTGAAGGTGCTGGCTTTCAGCAGTAAAGGGTCTGGGAGCAGGTCACAGGTTAAACAATAGTAATAATCATATAAAGCTTTTATATACTGAATTAATTTGAATTGTTAAGTTAGTGATATTGGAAAAAAAGTAAGGGATAGGGGAGCATTTACATACAGCCCAGTGCACAGATGAATGGACTGTGGTTGGGCTCTGACCTAGAGTAAGTTGTAAGAAAACTTGCTACCTGAAGAATGCGCTTGGCATATATAGAATGAGGTCTGAAGCACAGTTGGTGCTGCAACAGTGACGTGTACAAGATTATGGCATTTTAACATCAGAATAAAGGAACCCTGCACTACTTGGCTAATTTCATTTAAAACGCACATAGTCCTCATTGCGTGCAGAGCTTTTTACTGCCCTTTCTCAGCCTCTTCTGAGACTCATCATTAGTCCTTGTACCCCTTTGGTAAGTAAAAAGCTGAGACTGTAGTTTTACAGTCGCCCTCAGTTAGTGAGAGAAGTGATGCTGCTTGTTAATGCCCCTGTGTTATCAGTTTTGTGAGGCCATGCAGCAGTCTGGATTATAGTGCCAATACAGGTTCATCTGAGCGCCCTGCAGTTTTATGGGCACTCATGTCCTTCCAGTGGAAGGAGGCTGCACAGGGCAAGAATGTGTGGCTGGGTTTGGAAGGATGTGTGTGCAGGAACGTTTTCTTAGCAGCAGTGGCTTAGGCTGGTTCTAAGAGTCAGTGCAACTGTGATGTTAAATGTATAGGGTTAAGTGATTTGACCAAGGCACAAGAGGAAGTTGGTGTCTGAACCACAACTAGCAAATACAGATTTCTGACTCTGCGCTGTGTTAAAAGCATGCATTCAGCTCCAAAGAACCTGGAGTCAGCTCATGTGCTTTTCTTTAGTTAAAGTAGCTAATTAATTAAAAGTACAAGTCTGTCATGTAACCCTAGCAAGGAAAGGCACTGTCAAAACCTTTTCACTCAGTAAATCAAGATTTACCTAGTAACTGTTAACCACTCAAAAAAAAAATTTATGTAGTTGAACTGCTAGGATGGAATGTAGCTTGTCTTAAGTTCAGTGATTGTTAAATTTCTAATAACAGTGTAGCATTCCAAGAAGCACCTTGGGGACTTTGAAACGGTCTCATTTTCAAAGGTGCCAAAATTACTTTTAAAAATGGGACATGAATGTCTGCGGCCAAATTCATCTTGACCATTTTCCCCAAGAATGTCTGTCCTGCTCAGCCTTTGCATGCTGACTACTCTGTACAGTCAGACTGCATGCTGGAGATGAAATAGATCTGTCACTAGGAAGCTTATCTTCCATGTACGCTTCTGTTGTGTTAAGGAGGTGATGCGGCTGATACTGCTAAATGATATAACTTAGCACATGTGTTTATTCAAGGGAATTTATGCCTATTTGTTCTGCATATTTCAGAAATACGGCTACACGCACCTTTCTGCTGGTGACCTCCTTCGAGATGAACGAAAAAGGCCAGGCTCACAGTACGGAGAACTCATTGAGAACTATATTAAGGAGGGTGAAATTGTACCGGTTGAAATAACAATCAGCTTGTTGAAGAGGGTAAGGAAAGGGCTATTTCTGTGGACTGAGCAACAAAGGAGTGGGTATGTTCTGAAAGAATTGTCCATCCTGTGATTAGAGCAGGATAAAATGACAGATACGTAGGTGCGTATTCCATGCTATGTTTCTGTAACAGTTATGCATGCTTATGATTGGCTGGAATGCCACAGGTAGGTCATGATCTTTGATACTTAGAGATCTATGAGAACAGAACTTCTTTTTTAAAGAATTTTTCTAGGGAAATGAGCTAATGCGCACACTCTTGTGTAGCTCTACGTTTGTGATTTCCCTCAACTAGCTTTTGAACCTCTTGGTCAGTTCAGCTATGTATGACTGAAGGCTAGAAGCCTTAAAGGTGTTAAGTTTCTGTAAGTTTAATCCAACTGGACAGCCAAGTAAAGGGGAAGAGTTCCTGCTAATGTTCCCTCCAAAGGAATAGCTCAGCCTTTATCCTTATTAGATGTCCAAGAAACCCACCAGAATGTGTCCCCTGAGACAGGAAGAACTTCTGTTGCTAATAGAACTATATTTCTCTGAATTTTTTTCTGTTACACTTAACTCTAGACAAAGGACACTTGTTATTTTGTAACAGCACATTCGAGTATCTTGAGGAACATAAACTTTTAAAGCTAGTTTTTTGTTTGTCATGAGATTTTTGAGCTTTGTAGAGTAGTTAATTCAGTTTGAAAGAAGCCTGTGTTAGCGCATCAGCGAAACAATTAGAGTACTTTGAAGATGACAGAAAAATATATTTTGTAAATTTACAATAATTCCCTGATAAATTTCCTAACTTGCCATTTGAACGTTTTGGGGGTAACTTAATAAGTAGGAAAATAGTTTTATGTGCAAGAGATCCTGAACTGAATTCTGCTTATCAGGCTATGGATCAAACAATGGCTGCCAATTCCCAAAAGAATAAGTTCTTGATTGATGGCTTTCCCAGAAATGAAGATAATCTTCAAGGCTGGACTAAGACCATGGATGGAAAGGCGGATGTTTCTTTTGTTCTCTTTTTTGACTGTGACAATGAGGTAATGAATTGTGTTATTTTGTAGCTTTCTTACCTGCCGTATTGTGAGAATAGTAACAATAATTAACAATAAGAATAATAATAAAACTGTGTCAGGTAGTGAAATTTTTAGAGTAAATAGACTAGGTAAGAGTAGAAGGAAAACTTAGGTCTGTGAATTTCAGGGATTTTTGACAGCTGCTTCTAGTAGATGAAAAGCTGCATGTTATTGAAATAGCAAGTGACTACACTTGATACAGTCTGGTGCAAATACATTCTGTTGAACAACTACTTCAAACAGATGTATTCTTATAAAAAATTATTAAAACTTCAAATAATTATTTTAATGATATGTTAGTTAATTTTTAGAAAACTTTATTCTGTCTACTCTTAGTAACTGCCGTTTAGTGTGAAGCCAATTCATTACCGATGTTCACTTTGACTCTGAAGTGCTGGCAGTGTAAGTCTTAATTTTCGTAGGCGTGAGCTCTGCTACAATACCTAATAATCAACATTTTATTCAGCAAGTCATTAGATTACAAGGGCATTTTGACATTGATTCATTATAGTCATTTAACAAGTGCTGTGATATGCTTTCTCTTTAATATGTCATTGCCCTTGAGGGATAGAAACTGATACAAGAGTCCTGAGGCCTTAAACAGGCTTTCTTCCTCTGACCTTTGGCCCAATTTCCTGATAAATTTTATTACTTTTTTTAACTTAATGGCATTTTTTTAGATCTTAATGAATGACTCTGGGGCTATATTTTTTTCTTTAAAACCTTTTAAAAAATAAAAAGCAAAAGGTTGAATGAAATTTTTCACTTGGAAGCTTTCTGTTACTTTTTGCATTCTCATTTTTTTGACTACGTGCAAACATAGGCAAAAATGCCTACATGACCCTCTTTTTTTGATCGTGGGTGTATTTTGTAAGAAAAAGTCACTTTGAAATATTGTCCTCTTGCACCAGTGACATAAATGTATACACAAAGTGTACGTGTGTCAGGATTTCTTACTTTTTGCTTCAAAACTTCTTACAGTTCATTTGGCAGCTTTTAACTGTAGTTACAATTCTTCAATTTTTGTTTAGATACAGTTTTTTAGATCTTAACTATAGCAGCCTCAAGTAATAACAGTTTAACTTCTAATAATTTAATATAGAGCCTTATGTGAATTCTTAGGAGAACATCTGGTGATTCTTGTTTTCTGGTGTTTTTTTTTCCTCAAGCATATATTAATAGTGTAATTTCACATGCTGCTTTTTAGAAAGTCTGAACACATCCCTGAAAGTCAGATGTTTCTCTTTAAATGTCTCAAGTTGGACACCTAGGCACACCACAAAGCTTGATGTTGCTTTTATTTCCCCTGACCCCAATCCCCCTTTTCATTTCCCCTGACTAGAGCCCTAGTTATTATAGCTGGTGAGTTGTAAAGCTATTATCCTTTTTCCCTGGAAAAATCCTGCTTTCTGTATGAATTCAAAGTTATATAAGTCAGATCTGTCCAGTATTTTATATGTCAGGCCCATATAACAGATCTTTGAAAAAAAAATTATTAGTTCAGGGGTTTTGTTTTGTTTGTGTTTTTGAGTTTGCACATTATATTCTTGCTTGTGATATTCCTTTTGGATTGTTTGTTTATTTTGTAGATATGTATTGGCCGCTGTCTTGAAAGAGGGAAGAGCAGTGGTAGGAGCGATGATAATCGGGAGAGTCTGGAAAAGAGGTATCCTATACAAAACTTTTCTGTTCTTTTCTGCTTTTCTTTTTTATTATGTAATGCTTTTCTCCTCCCCCCCCCCCTTTACTTTCTCCTAGAATTCATACATATCTGCAGTCTACTAAGCCTATAATAGATTTATATGAGAGAATGGGAAAAGTCAGAAAAGTGGATGCCTCTAAGTCTGTTGATGAGGTAAGTATATAAGCCAAAAAAATGACGATAACAGTGGCATGCTACATGTTTTTTGCATCCTTCTGAGACAGGTGCATGGTTAGTGAAGCTAGCTAAACACTATTTTACAGGAGGTTATTCAACTCCTGTTTTGACTCTTGAAGTACTGATTACAGTAGGAATAGCTTTAGTCAGTTCTGCTTGGACACAAGGTGAACTAAACAAATTTCGTTAATTCTGTACTCAACAAAATATCTTGATTTTTTTCAATTGCATGAGCTTTTGCTTTTCTGTTAATATTTAATATTACTTTCTGTCCCCTGTATCATCCCACCTAATCTTAGGCTTCTTGATTTAGATGTCTTGGTGAAGTCTGTTACACTAGGGCCTCTTTGCTGAAGTCAGTAGAGAGAAGGAGCATTTCCAAGAAGCAATCTAGATTTCTAGCGTGTGGTTTGTTCTGTGGAAGGTGCATGTTTTTCTGCTGACAACACAGAGGGAGCATAAGCTGACTTTGTACCCAGCCTAGACCCCTGATTTATGTACAGTGGTGAGCTGGCTAAATTCAACCCTGTTTCAAGAGTTAAAAACAAGAGGAGATCCTAGTATTGCCTCTGTTTTTTGCTCCTCCAACTGTGTTACCTTGATTGAACGTGTTGAGTAAACTCCATGTGAAATACAATGAAGAGCATTGTGAGACATTTTTGGTACAGCAGGGGCTGAAGAAACTGCATCGTGGTGTTTTCAGCTGTTATTTGATAAGGCCTAACATTTTAATTCTGAAACCCACAGAAGCAAAAACAAAAAGAAAAAAAAATTACTGTAACCTCGGGACCAACTACTCTCTGGATCATAATACAGATTTCTTACAGCTCAAATGTTAGAGAGAGACTGAGGCATAAAACTATGCATCTGACTACAGATGCTCCTCATAGTTGTTTTCTGTAATTTAGAATTTATAATAAAACTTAACTTCCAAATTTACTTAAATATTCTTTAATGAAAGGGTGCCACCCCTCCCCTTCAAGAAGCAGCTTGCACTGATGAACCTAAACTTCTATTAGTCATAGAAAGTCTAGAAGTTATGCTTCATGTTATGGCATATTGTTAACTTTTTTTATATTTTGAAGTGATACTTTGTTTGAAGAGAGTGCACTGGAGACTGCTTACATACTGATACATTAATGCAGGTGGACAGAAATGTAAGACATCTGAATATCTATTAAAATATTAGCTGTTCAGAGACAAAAAAAATCTGATTTGATACGAATTCTGCTATTATCAATATTATGAGCATTCTTTTAAAAAGTATATGCATCTTAAATACTATCAATTATTGTGTGTGCTGGTTTAACTGGGCCTAACTGATTACCTAACACTTCATAAAATTAACCATCCTTTTTCTCTTTTTAGGTATTTGAAAAAGTTGTAAAAATTTTTGACAAAGAAGGCTAGTTCCCAGCTTGAAAGTTCACCTTAGACTTGTGCTTGAATCTTGCTTGATAGCTGCTACTGCAGTCCACTCTTGTAATTGTTTTAAAAGTTTTTTATTTTTCACATATTCGATGATGATTGGAAAAGCAGTTAATTACAAATGGATTTGTTTTTTTGAATAGAGAATCATTTCTCATGGCTATAGTAGACAAATCTAAGGGTTCTCTGTTAGTGTTAGTTCAGTTACTCACAAAACAGAAACACGTATAGTCAAAACATCTCTCTGGAGAGACTATTTATCCTGTCAGTCCTGTGCCCTTTCACGGACAGCTCTTCCTTTTGCCATACACCTTTTTTTTTTTTTTTTTGGTTTGTTTTGGATCAGGTAAACAGCAGCATTAAGCAATGAGGGACCTGCATGTCCTTGTTTGTTTTTCAGATGTTTGGACCAAATTTAGGAGACATTTTTTTCCAAGTATAATTTTGTCACTCATTTCCCAGTTATCCCCACACTTGAATTCTGTGAACAAAACTGCAGTTAGTATGAGAATCTGTTTTAGCAGTTATCACAAAACTATTTAATATGCTGTTCAGCAATAGGCATACAAAGTACTTCATAGAAAGTGGTGCTTTCTTATAATTCTGGGTTTAAACTGTCATGTAAGTTCTTGAGTACGCGGACGACATGGCCCTGGCCTTTTCCTCATCTTTGTTTGCGAAAGCTTAAGAATATTGTTTCAAAGTCAGGTCAGTGTCTCTGTACTCATTTATTTGGGGTGATAGTTACGCTCTTAATTATAGCATGATCTTTACAAGGTGGAACAACTCTTAAATAGTGTGTACTAAACAAAATCTTCTAATAGTTGTCTTTTGTAACCAGTGGAAGGGATTTTCTGAATTATTGTTGAAGTACTGTGTTACTGAAAACTTTGAAGTTTATTACCTGGGGAAGTATTTTTATGGTTAAACTTGTGAATTTATTTCCCTAACATTGTATAATTTTAATAGCTGTTTGAAAGGGTATTGTAAATTATTGCACTTTTTTATGATATGGTCAGCTGAGGGGAAATAGCTGCATTAAAAAAAGTTCAATTTCTGTAAACAGATCAGATCCTCCTTTACTGCATTCTCTTGAATAAGGGAAGTACAGTCAGTGTCAACAATAGTTGGGATAAGCAGGTAACTAGTTTTAAAAAAAAAAAAAAAAACAGTTTTGTAAATGTTTGCACAGTTGTGGAATAATTCTGCCTTCTGTTTAAAGTAACTTTTTTCCCCATACGACTCTAATGCGCATAGGTCTGTGGGGGCCAAATCATGCATTCCTTGCATGTCCTAAGTTAAGTTTTCACTGAAGCAAGTCCAAAAAGAGTTGAAGATGGGTACTTTAGCTAATTTTAGTGATAGAGTGGTTTTTGCTACATGAACTGACACTGCAATTGGTTTGTGATATGCTAATAGATGTTGCAAATTACAGGGAAACGCAATTTGGAAATCTTGTGATCAGCTTTTCTTTAAAATCCTATTTAGAGAAAGTCAGCTTGAATTAAGTCTAGCTTCTGATTGCAATCAGACATGTTGGTCCTCATCCTGCAATCCCATCCGTGTAGGCAAATTTGTATTTGCATGACTTCTTATTTCACTGAGGTTCTTAGGATTGTTGGACTGAGGAGGAGAGAGGCATACGTAAACAAGGAGAAAATGACCCTATTTTTTCCAGTACAGCAGTGGTACAAACAGCGTACTGAGCACAAATACTACGTTTACTACTACAGAAAAAATGGACCATGACTACTTTTGTGAGTTTGGGAGGCTAATGCTTTTGCTTTATGAATCTCCCCTTAAGAATCACGGAATTTAATTCCAGTTGTATAAGTATACTGACATAGGATAGGCTCCAATGAAACTACATTTTTGATATAAAGGTTAAAATCAGAATTTTTCCAGAAAAACTTCAAACAGGATTCTCTACTCTACTTAGAGAGATATTTTCTTTTATTTCTAAGATGCTGTTTTTTTACAACTTCTGCTCAGAATAGATTATCTGTTTTCTCATCATATACTTTTCTGTGTATTTAAGTGCTGAAACCAAAAAAAAAAAAATTACTTTAGAGCAAGCTTTTGGAAGAAGTTTTTGGCAATATTGAATTTGGAGTGGATTGTACTGTGTCTGTGCAAAGATTAGATTTTTTGTCATTTTATTTATTGAAGATGCCATTAAATGTATTGCCGATGTTTCAAGTTGAACTTAAAGATTGAAATGAAGATTAAAGGTAATACACCAACGTGTTGTGTGCCCATTTCTCAGCAAAATTGTACAAAGAATTTGAGAATATCTAATAAATTTTGTTCTGTGGCTTAATGTGAGTGCTTGGCCTACGATTATTGTCTGTCACAAAGGATATGTTTACATATCTGTATCTATCTACCTATATGTGTGTGTATATTTTTTTTTAATTAAAAAAGTGTGCATGTGTTCAGCTTCCACCATCAGAACTGAAGTCCCAAAGACCCTGTTAGGAACAGCATAAGATCAGGGAAATGTCTGTGGAAGTGGTGCTTTTTCTTGACTATACTATATTTTGTCAAATTGTTTTATTCTTATAGTTTTACACTGATAATTCATGTTTTATGTCTGTGAAAGAAGGGACTTGGGAAGTAGACCAGGAAAGCCAGTCCTATTGCACAGCTACTTTTAGAGACACATTTTCTTCATTTCTCATGCCTCTTTGCTCAATCACTTGCTGATTTCTTGGATGACATTCTGTCCATGTGCAGCACATGCAATATGCTGTACTGAGAATTGTACTTTCAGAGGAGCTTTTCTTCCCTTTACTGTGCTTTTCAGATGCATCAGCGGAGACCTTGCTTTTGAACATAGGTCATGGCTCTGCTTCAAGAGGGACAAAACTGTTTTGGATGTCAGTGGAAGCAGGGTTGGCACTGTGCAATGGTCTTGAAAAAGGAAACTGAGAAATTACCAGGCTTATTTTAAAAGCCTTCACATTTCGCTCTAAAGATTTGTTACAGAAATGGCTGTTCATTGACATGTAAGTTTCCAGTAAACAAAATGTTGAACTTGAAACCTTATTCGGGAAAAAATTGCAGTGATGGGAAGAGTAGGGAATTTTCCAGCAGTGTAGGTATCTTTCTGCTGGTATAACTGCATTGACTAAAGACTTCTACAAACTTGCTGAAACCTTACCCTGAAGACATGGACTCCTAAGGAGCTGATTTACAAGGGCAAGACTCTGGTAGGAACCAGTTTGGCCTGCCCCAAAGCTAGCTTTCCCATTCCCACAAGTAGGAGACTTGAACTGAGTGTTCTGCTGAAAAGGTGCCAGTTTGGGGGACAGGATGGGAGGAGAGAAGGGGAGAGACTTTATTGTGCAGAAGACCAAAAGCCTGGAGTTGAGGATTGTCTCAGTGCAAGATACTCCCCACTAGCAACATCTGTCCTTAATAAGAAAGATGGTTCATGAGGGAATTCCAAAATCCTGTGCAAAATGCTGTGTCTTACAACACTGGGGAGGCTTGTGCACTGCTGCCCAGGCTGAACTGAGGCGAACAACAAGAGTTAAATGGAAAAACCTCAGTTCAGACTGGTGCTGCCAACTGTTGTTATCGTTAGGGTTAGAAAAGTTACAGCTTAGTATAACTTCAAACTTAGTCTGAAGTTCAATACCAGTTCTATCCCTGTTGTGATACAGATTCTTTGAAAGCTATGATCTGTGACAGTATACTCAGTCGGCCTTCTGCTCAGCAGAAGTCAGTGCCTAACCCTTCAGTAATAAGAGGTTATTTCTTCAAGATGCAGTGCAGCAGTACTTAGAGACTGGTCACTTGAGGCTGTGTGCTTGACATAATCCAAAGATCCTGAGAGCAACAACTAATAATGAAAACCGCAAGATGATGCGAAGACAGTTCAGCTAATCAGGTAACAAAGGAGACAGTAACAAAAATAGTAAGACTTTTGATTTCATAGATCAGCAGTTCTTGGACTCTTCATCTGCAGACCTTTACAAATTTTCCAGTGGGTCATAGATGAATTTAATCTTGCTGCTGTCAGCTATTCTTCATGAATTGTTTAGTTTAAGATGGTGTTTTTCAGCCTGTGGTCGATAGAATATTTCTGTTGGTAACAACAGATGTCTCCGTTGAGTCCTCTAATCTGCTCAGCTAGAGTATTTTTCTCTGTCCTCTTTGCTTTTTACATTTTAATGTCTTTTCCTTACCTTTCTGAGTTGCAGAAACCCTTCAGAACAGAGAAGGGGTGCTATTACCAATCTGTATATTCCTTGCAAAAGAAACAAATTTTTTGAGTACCTTCAGCTGGAGCAGTGGGAACCTATTGAGTTTGATACGTTATTTGTTACAAAATAGGCTTAAAGTACACTGTGTTAGTACTTTGGTGCTACTTTAACTATAGAAAATCTCCCTGTAGACAACAGATACTACTGTTCTTTTCTCTGTATGAGCAAGATCAGATGTGCATGTCTTGTTTCAGCACAGTGCTTAGCAGCAGTTGCATCAAAAAGCCTCGAGCACTGGACAACAGCAATGACCTGTTATGCTTTGATGGGAGCAAGTGAAGTGATTGAGGAGGAGGGGAAAGATGCTTTATGAAGCAGAATTGATGGCTTTTTAAATCAGCTTTAGATATATATCTGTTCTGCACAACTATGATATTTGCATTTAGTCTAGCTCATTCTTTCATGGCTATGCTGGATAGAAAACACTCACTGCCTAGAAGTTGGCTGTCTTCCTTCATCGTCTCTGCCACCTTGAATTTCAAGGAGCTATGGGAGCAGGAATTTGACTCCAGGGTAAAGCTGTAGAAGTTAAACTGGGCAGATTTAAGACAAATTGAGTCATGCTTGTGAAGAGCTAGAGGCACAGCTTATTCACTGTGGGCAGCAATGCCAGGCTGTTCTGTCATCCTGGTTTATAACTGTATTCAGACACCAAAGCAGAAATTTTCCCTTCAAATGTTTGGCAGAAAGCTTGCTTTTGTCTAAAATGCTCCTTAAGCACTGTGTGAACCATTCAATCCTAAACCAGATACCAATGAGTTGTGCTTTTTCTTTCTAATTTACAAATAGCAGGGTTTGGTTTAGTTTCTTGTAATAGCTGCTGCAGTGAGACAGTTCTTGGAAAATACAAGGCGCCATCCCAAAAGATGATATCTGCCATATTCTTGAGGGCTTTTTAGCACAGTGCCAGTGTTGTCTTTATGCTAGGAAATGACATACTGCTGGGTTTCTGTGCAACTACCAGAGTAAATGTAATGATATGTGGATGATGCCCTGATGGTCTTTCATGCAGCAGATCTGCTTGCTCCATGTACACAACACTAAACTACTTGTGTCCTTAGACATTCCATTTAATGCCATGAGATGTGAGAAGAGATCTTTGGATAACTTCTCGGTTGTGTCAAATCTTAAGAGTAAAGCTTAATCTATCTTGGAGGTCTTCAGGAACTATCAGAATCTAACAAGACGTGATTTGGAGGGTATAATATGTGATAGTCCTCTTTCCTTCTTGAGCAAAGAGCTATCTCTTCAGGTTGCTATTTGGAGTGTTACCACTGTCATCTTCTAAACCACATCCAGTTGAAGTCTCCAGCTGTGGTCACCAAACATCCTGAGGTCTGTGTTATGTTCTAACCCAAATATCTCCGTCCTTGCTTGAACACCTCCTGAGGTTTCATTTGGATGGAAATCGTCAGTACCTTTTCTCTACAGGGAGGACGGACATAGTACAAAGTTAAATTGCCAGCCCCACCTCATGCTCCGTATAAAGAGATTTCCTGTCAGAGGGAACTGCTCTGCGCTCTCATGCCATGAAATCCAGTGGTCAGTATCTCCAGAGGGATCAGATATTAGAGAACTGTTGCAGGTGTCTTGGCTTACTGTTGCCTATTTGCCTTCAAATACTGCTGCCCGAAACTCTGATGTTGATGGGAAATTGCTCAGTTTCCTCCCAGAGCCTGTGTTTTTTGTTTTATTTTTTGTTGTTTGTTGTTGCTTTTTAAAGTGGCAAAGCTGATTGCTCCATATGGAAATGTTGCTGTGATGCTTTCTGGGAATTGTAGCTGCTTCTGTACTTGCATTCTTCTTTCCAGACCATGCCTCCTTGGTGGACTAAGTTTCCCAAGGTGTATGTATCTCCCCGCCCCAGGAGAGGAGACAGTAGCTGGACCATGGGAGGAGCCCCTGGGCACAGAAGACAACAACAACGTGAAACACTTTAGATGCATTTTTCAAATGAAGATATAATCAGCAGCCACATTTTTGATGGATAATCAAAAATGTCCCTGGAAAATAGGAACACAGATGATTTTATTGTATTTTTTCCATTTGACATTTTCTACAGAAAGTGCGTTTGCTCGCCTGCTTATTTGTGAAACAGAGCTCCTGATTTTAAGTGCTATTCCTGGAGCAAGCATTGCATTTGGTTTACCATGTGTGACTTCTTGTAAAAGTTCCCTGGGCTTTTGGATGCTGTTCTTGCCAGTGAGAGGAGATGGCTTCCAGCAATAAACATCCCACAAAATTATGTATGTTCTTTAAGAAAAGTACCAAGATTTTCTGTTAATTGCAAAAATACATAATGGATGCCTTCAGCATCTGTTATTTATTCTATAACCAGTTTTCATCCAAAAGTAACCTTTAAACAAACATTAAGATGGGGTAGTTTAACTGTTTCAATGTGTCACACACATCTATGCCCTCCAGTTTAATTATGTTTGAAACACATGCTTATATTTGACTTTTAGTGAGAGGAAAAGTTGTTTATATCTCTAGCGTGTAGACATTCGCAACCTGGAAAAGACGATGCTCTGTGCCAAACCTGAAAGTATGACTCGATCTGTTGGCTTCACTGTTTTTGGAAACAGACCCATCTTAGAGGTATGGTTTTGCTCACATCGCAATTGCTTAAATCTACCACGAGGAGGGGTGCTAGGTTCATAGAGAATAGGATGCAGAATAAAAGTGTCATTCATAGCTGTACCATACTCCACATATATTGAAAGACCTGATCTTTTTTAAAAGTCTGATTTTCTTTTTTTTATGGTCATGTAGCTTAAAAAAAACAAACCAAAACAAAAAAACCCCAAACATGATAAAGAAACAGATATTTTTGGATGGATTTTCATTTCAGAGAGATTGCTATATTAGTAACTTGGCAACAATGAGTATGTTATGCCTTTTTTTTCTTTTTTTGCCAGTTTAATTAAATACATTCGATGAAAGCAACTAGACAGGACCAAAGTAATTATCCGGGTTGTTCTGTGCCGCTATCATCGTAATAGGTTTGTCATTCCCATCCTCAACTAACTAAGCAACTTTCTGGCTTGGG